AGGCCTTCCGCTCCTTGAGTTCTCTCCAGCGCTGGAAAGCTGATCCGATATTTACACGGGTCCTACTTATTGCCTTAAGCCTTCTTTTGTTCCGCAGACATTTTCCTCTTTTGTTTTTTATCCCCCATCTCTATTTTTCTGTCGCTCGGCTCCCTAATTGTCCGTCCTGTGCACTGAACGCTCTCTCCTCCACATCATGAGTAGACATGCCCCATACTGCTGATTGGCTACAAGTTTGTTTTGCTAGTCGGCCCGAATCAGTTTTCTAAAGCATTTTTGAAAATCGCTTACCCCACCTTTAAGGTAAATATACATACACACATATACACGCGCACACACACGGACACACACACACACACACACACATATATATATATATATATATATATATATCTCTGGGATATTGTCACAATTTGGGTGTCCAAGATAAACTCTCTCACAAAGATGAAGGAAAAACGTTTCTTTTAATAAATCCACACAGAGTAAATCAGAAGGCAGGCAGGAGACACAGGTAGGGGCAACATTCACAATACCAGATGAGGGACAACTGAACAGGCTATAACTAAAGTAGGGGTGCTAATGAGGGACAGACAGGTGAGGATCAACTAATGAGGACACAGGTGAACTGACTAACAATCAAACATGGGGGAAAAACGGTCTCACAGAACACATGAGGAATGAAAACTAAAAAGAACAGAAAATGAGATATGTTCAAAGCCACTATAACAAAACTGCTGAAATTATACATATAATCTCAAACAACTTTCAAGATTATAAAATGTATAAAAGCAGTATATTTTGAAATTTGGGTGCCAAATAAACTACTGTAGCAAAGTACTTACGTTACTTATTTTACAGTCTAAGAACAGACTGTAAAAGGTGATACTGATTAAACACTCACACATGTGCACAGCACAAAAGCAGACACACACTAAATCAGTCTGCAGTTAAACAATGCTATTTCTGTCCCTCTCATAACAGCCAGTATATTGGAAACTGAAGACACGCCTCAGACAAGGAGTATTTAAAGGGGTCCTATTATGCTTTTTCACTTTTTCAACTTTAGTTAGTCTGTAAAGTTGCTGTTTGAGCATAAAAAAGATCTGCAAAGTTCAAAGTCCACTTCAAAAGGAGATACTTTATTTAACAGAAATCACTTTTCAAAAACTACAACGAACGACTCGTTTGGACTACAACGCATATTTTCCGGGATTTGTGATATCACAGATATTGACGAATGGGATGAGACCTGGTTGAGCTGCACTAGAGAAGGCATTGATTTGATACTGACGCAATATTTACACTGAAGCTCGCAGGTGGCTATGGTAAGGGGCATGACATTTCCCGACCAGGCGCCGAGTGCTGCCAATCACAACACACACTGGCCCAGCTGACCAATCACAGCACATTTCGTATTTCAGAAGGCAGAGAGACTGAGGAGAGAGGTGTTGTAAGACTGAGGAGAGAGGTGTTGTAATAATGTAAAATATGTGAAAATAATGTGTTTTTTGAACAACCTAGTATGAGAGCCTGTTCTAGAACACCCCCAAAACAAAATCAAGACTTTGTAAAAGAGCATAATAGGACCCCTTTAAGATATTTGTCCTCACCTCAATAAATTATTTGGCTGTGCTTCTAAAAACGTCTCTCTACTCATAAGCAAAGGGTGGAGCATTAATTTAAATCTGCTCTGGTCTGATTTATGCTGACAAAAATATTTCTGCTGGAAAAAGACCTTTCACACAAAAATAAGTTTCAGGTGTTCAAGACACAATATTGCATGAAGGGTGACTTTTTCAGTTTTCAGTCTGTTCTTACAAAATGTAGTGAGGTCACAAATGTTTCCTTCAATAGTATGAAAGCTGGAAACCAGACGATATTACTTCATTACAATACATTGTATTGTATTTATTAACTTGTTTGTGTCGTTAAGGGTTTGGCCTAAGGGTCTAAATAGCCATGACATACTCAATCACTCATTGTTTATCTTGAGATCTGCTGGTAATTTATTAATATAGTCCTTGACACAGTTATTTCAATATTGTGTTGCGTAACTCAATTCCCAAGTTCCCTTTTCCCTCTATACAATATGGCGAATGAGTTAAACTTCAATCAGAGATTGATGCTCCAATGCACCCACAGTTAATATTTACACTACCTGTTAATATTTAGAGAGTTGAAACCTCAGATTATTAAATGGATTGACCCAAAATAAACATTCTCTCATGATTTACTCACCCTTATGTCATGCCAAACCTATATGACTTTCTTCTGTGGAAAACAAAAATATCACATGTTTTTTTGATGACGTGTGGACCCCACTGACATTCATTGTGGAGAACAATCTTCAAAATATCCTATTTTGTGTTCATACAGGTTTGGAATGACATGACAGTGAGTAATCACTGGCAAAATGTTAATTTTTGGCTGATCTATCCCTTTAAGAACCAGACGTAAAAGAGGAACTGACATATTCAAGTGCTGAACAGTGATACGAAAGAATGGAGAGGTTAACTCCTGGACAACATGCAAAGGAAAGCTCCCTCTGGAGACATTATAGCTACTCCCATAAGATCAAACATCTTTTTGCCCAAATCTCTCTCCCTATGCTTCCACCTTGACCTGAGGCAGAATTGTCCTTTGGGGAGACCCAACCCCTTTCCTACTTTTCCTTTCCACACCCCCATGACAATTTCTTGCCCAACCAGCGGTAGAAGCTGTGACATTTGAGTACATCACATATGCTGCCCACCTCAAACAAAATATTTCTCACACTGTGACAGCCCTGCTCTGAGTGCTGTGTTTAAAAGAGCTTGCTCAGCTTCATGTACGCTCAGTGGGTTTCAGCACATGAGGGACGACGGCTGTGTAACAACACAGGAACAACCACAAGGCATCTTAGTGGCTGTGGAACATCTGATTTACTTCAAAATAATCTGATTACATGCAGGGGCAGACTAACATACACACCAGCATTAACATCAGAATGTATGCGCCCGGGGCCGTGCTGGCCCTCTGCCTGCCCTGCTTTTTGAGTGGGAATGCGTTTGGTTATGAATATGGAGAGGATTACTCTGATTCCTACTATAATGAAATCTCCAATGGTGAACGCCTGCAAAGTAAGTATTTTTCAGTTCCAGATGTCTCTTCATTTTTATTTATACATGTAGCTGTACTGACATTTTGCTTTTCATTTGACTTTTTAAAATAATCATGACTGCATGACAAATTATTTTAAAAACAGAACTATTGAATAAAGGGGTAGTTGAATTTTTTTGTAAAATTTCAGGTTAAAATTAATAAAAGGAAACATATATTAGGTGCTTTAACTGGTCATCATGTCTTATAATTTTTTCACTATTTTTAAGTGCATTTAAAAATAGTGTGACGAATTAATATCAAAAATACAAATGATTTTTCACATTTCACATTTATGCTTTTCACAAGATTTAAATGTTCTTATCATGCGACAAATTCAAGAACAATATTCCATAAAATCTCTTAACTTATAATATGTCATAAAAGTCACACATATGTCACAAAATATTGCTGTTAAACGTTTTAAATGTAGCGTATTACAGAACAACATATGGCAACTTTCTAAAAATATTTAATGTCAACAACCCAAATATATTTAAATATCTGTATTTTTAATGCACAGTGCTATGAAAGTATAATGTCATGAGTCATGACCCATAGCTTTCAAAAATACAAAAGTGTTGGCAGGTTTCATGACATTTGACATTTACATACCTTTCCACTGACACACTCCTGCAAAGCCAAGCCAGGAGCTTGAACATATTAACCAGAGGATGCTTATGAGCATCATAATGGTTATTCATTTTCAGAGAACTTGTCTCTGAGAATTTAGCAAAGAGGCAGTTAGTAATCCTTGTGGCCACTACAAAACCTTTAGCGGCAAGCCCTGGGAAGAACAAAGGATGACAACAAACCACAATAATGTTATTCATTACAAGTACATTTTGCTTTGTATTATTACAGTATATGATGGTATTACTTTTTTAAAAATTGGTTATGTTGCACCAACACAGAGCAGTAAAAAACATACTCTTTGTTCACAGCAGGAGCAACACAAATTCCCTGTCCACCTCAAGACCTCTCACGCTGGGACAAACTTTTCATCATGCTGGAGGACTCTCAAATGAAGCAAGACATGCTCTTGCATCAGAATGAAGACATGGTTAAGGCGGAGACGGACTCCATATGGAAGGAGCTCCATAAGCTTAACAACAACAAAGCATGCATCCAGGCCTCAGAAAACACCTGTAAATGTATAAGTGAACAGATGAACCGCAATCTGAACCAAGCCATGGAGCAGCTCAGAGAGGCTGCAGATAATTATCAAGCCCAAAACAACGAGACGCTGCAGCAGCTCATTCAGTTCAGCAGGAACCAGGCCACCCATCTCACCAAACTGGAGAGCAGCTCACTGCTGGGAGCAGATCTGGGGCAAGTGGCCATGAAGTCTTTCTCCGCTTATCCAAAGGAACAAGAAGCAAGCAATGCAGATGGCGGGAAGCTGGAGAGAGCGCTAATGGCCACTGTTGCGGATCTCCAAAGGGTACATGCCCAGCTGGCCCTTTTCCAACGAGCAACGGCACATCGATTTCTGCCCTCAGGTAGATGTTTCAAGGAAGACCAAATCTATGATTTCACTGTTTTTTTATTTAATTTAATTTAATTTAATTTAATTTAATTTAATTTAATTTAATTTAATTTAATACACTTTATTAATTTGCGAAGGGCAGTTTGGTTTAGGGCATACGGAACTGACAGGGCAGACAAAAACTGTCTATTTATCTTATCCTCAACAAGGCTGAATTTAATTAATCAAAAGACAGTAAAAACATTCATATTGAGAAGTAAATTATAATATATTTTAAGTTAATAAAAAGAAGTGACCAAAAGTGACAGTAAAGACATTTATAATCTTACAAAAGATTTCTATTTCAAATAAATGCTGTTCTTTCGAACTTTTTATTCATCAAAGAATCTTGAAAAAAGGCTTTAAAAGGCCTTTGATAAATAACTGAGCACAACTGAAGTCTGAAATAATGGTTGCTGAAAATTCATCTTTGCAATCAAATGAAAAATATATATTTTAAATATATTAACAATCGTTTTTAAATGTAATATATATATAATATTTATAATATATATAATATATTTCACAATTTGAATGTTTTTACTGTATTTTTAAAAATAAAATTAATGCAGCCTTGGTGAGCATAGGAGACTTCTTTTAAAAACATAAAAAACAATGATTCCAAACTTTGAACTTATAACAAAATGTGAAATATAAAATATCTGTGGCCTTGAGAAATAATAAATACTTTGCAAACACTGTACTTTGTTAGTATTTGCATAATTATTCAATGCAATAATGAATCTTTAATTTCTTGCTCACTCTTTTTTAAGGCTGTGAAATGGCTTTATTATTCCCAATGCGCTCCAAGCACATCTTCGCAGAGGTAACACCCTCCACGTCCATGTCCCTACAATCATTCACCATCTGTCTGTGGGCCAAAGTGACTCAGTCTCTGAATAAAACAGTGCTTTTGTCTTACGGAACCAAGAAAAACCCTCAAGAGCTCCAGCTTCTTTTGGCAAGACACTCGGTGCTCCTCACGGTGGGCGGTGAGACCCATCTAGTGGAAGCTCATAGCGTAGTAACAGATGGGCAGTGGGGACACGTCTGTGCAGCTTGGAGCTCAGAGCAGGGGCTGGCCGCTTTGTGGGTGAATGGAGAGAATGTTGCCAGAGTGCCTGGAGTAGCCGAAGGGCACGTATTGCCCGGTAATGGGTTCATTCTGCTCGGGCAAGAGCGCAGCCGCTCGGGTGTCTACAGAGATCTGGACTCATCGGTTGCGTTCACTGGAAAAATGACAGGGGTGAACATGTGGGACCACGTGCTGGACGCAGGGAGGATTAAAGAGTACGCCAATCAACACGGATCCTGTGATAGCCGTGGGAATGTGATTGGATGGGGTGTTTCAGAGATCATTCCACATGGTGGTTCTCAGTATATCAACTGAGACAGCACCAATATACATCGCAATACAATCTTGTACGTTAGGTAATATTACATTGTATATCATCAGTGATTTTGTATTTACCTTCTTTTTCATTCCAAATAAAAAGCACTGCTTAAAGGAGTAGTTCTCCCAAAACAGAAAATTTGCTGTTTACTCACCCTCAGGCCATCCAAGATGTAGGGGACTGTCTTTCTTCAGTAGAACAGTAAAGAAGATTTTAATTTGAACCCATGATCCCTGGTGGTTCATAAAATGCAAGTCCAGAGTACCGTACTTTGAGAGAAAAAAAAGAAGATACAAAAACACAAAATGAATGCCTTTGCTCCTGATGATATATTGAGGTCTTACGTAGTGAAACGATTGGCCTGTTTGAAACTGAATAGAATGTTCAGAAACTACAGCATTATTACTTATCCATTCAGGTTCAGAGCAATCGTTTGACTTCATAAGACTTCAATATATCATTAGTAGACACAATTTGAAGAATTCATTTAGTTTTTCTGTAACCACTTTTTTTTTTTTTTTTTACTCTTAAAGTGGCATTACCCATTTACCTGTATTATGAATCACCAGGGACCACGGTTTCAGCTAAAAATCTTCTGTACTGTTCTTTTGAAGAAAGAAAGTCAAAAACATCTTGAATGGCCTGACGGTGTTTAATTTTTGAGCGAACTATTCCTTTAAAGGGATAATCTACACAAAAACGAAATTTCTGTCATCATTTACTCACCCTTATGTCATATATGATTTTTCCCCCTGTGGAACGCAAATATATATTTTGCTAAATTTCTCAGTGTATTTGTCCATACAATGAAATTCAATGGGGCACAATGGAATTTTACTGTATAGTCAAACACGGCTGAAACATTCTCCAAAATAACTTCTTTTGTGTTCCACACACGAAATAAAATAAAGCACGTTTGGAACGACATGAGGATGAGTAAATGATGACACAAATTTCATTTTTGGATGATTATCTCTTTAACCTTAAAACACTGTGCACAAAGCCAATTAAAATGGTTTAATATCGTGTATTCTTTTTTAATTTTAGCTTTTAGTAGAGAATTGCATTACCATGTAAATAAATTAGTTAAATTAGTAAAAAGCTAATCAATTCTAGTGGTGTGGCTTAGTGAGGATAATTAATGGACTACAAATAGAAAAAAATGTTTCTCTGTTGTTCCAAATTACATTTTAATGACTTAAGGTGGGGCAAGTCTGGATTTATTTACATCACCATGCTGGATATGACATTGGTCACCAATGATTCAAAACAGATTTTTCCTCTTCTATAGTTTGGTAATTTACAATGTTTGTCTGGCGTATTGCTGCATATGTTGCTCATGACTATTGCCAGTCTGACCACAAATAATATAAAATGAACCAAAACAAGGCGTGTGCTTTAACCATAGTGACATTAACTCTGAAATGACACCCACATGTGTACGTGTAATGATTGTTACAATGAGCAGTATTTTCCAGTGGTTTGTGAGACATATAGTCAGAATAGCCCTCCCATGTTAAATGACCTAAACTTTGTCCTGTCAACCTAAAAATAGGCTATATTTAACCATATTATTTATTATTAATGCCTAACACATCAGTATCAATGACTGTAAAAGTTGATGTATATCACTTGCTATTTCTGTATTACAATAATAATTGTATCATAAAAATATTGCTATAGTTTTGTAACATCACCAAATTTTTTTTTTTTGAGTATACATATCGTAAACAACATTGTTCAAGTAATTACATTTATAGAGCTCAGAATTATTTGGAAATCCATCAGCTCAAAAACAAAGAGGTTACAATATATGTGAATTTGTAGCAAAACACAAAACACACTTTAGGAAGAAAATCATGATTGGCAGCCTATGCTGTCATCGAAAAGCCGTTAATGTAGTTTTGGGGTGTCTTTTTCTATACTTTTATGTCCCAGGAGTTGATTTTTATTAAAAATAACAGTTTTTGTATTTTTAATTAAATTAATTAATCAAATTAATTAAGTTTGGCAAAACACAAAACACACTTTAGGAAGAAAATCATGATTGGCAGCCTATGCTGTCATCGAAAAGCCGTTAATGTAGTTTTGGGGTGTCTTTTTCTATACTTTTATGTCCCAGGAGTTGATTTTTATTAAAAATAACAGTTTTTTTATTTTTATTTAATTAAATTAATTAATCAAATTAATTAAGTTTGTTATATGAAGGACACATTAAAACTGTCTTGGAAACGTTTATGATCTACTCAACATTTATTTATTTGCATTTTTTTTATAAGAAAGTCTATCAAAACAGGTCAGATACTTAAGTCACAGCAGGATTATTTAGATGAAAGAAGCGTTGAAATTGTTGTGATAAAACTTTGAAAAGACATATGACAAAACAGACATGCTAGAATATTGCAACCTACCTGTGTTGACTAGCATTACCTACCTTAATGTCGCTTTAAAATGTTAAGACAAAGGTAACAAGGTGACAAAAGAGATCTTCAGGATCCTTCTTTGCCTGCCGTTTACCCAAGAATAAGGGGTCGGATGCCTACTTCACATTCTTCTTTCTTCCCTTTGGCTTGCTTACCAGTTTATAGAAGCGAACAGCATGTATATCATTCGACTCATCCCAGTGTTCATAAGAGGTCTTAGGCAGTGGATACATCACACCTGACTGACTCTTCAGCTTTGCAACACATGCGATGGTCTCCTTCCAGCCATCAACCCATCCAGTCCACATCCTCATCCCAGATAACAGCAGCAGACTGAGCAGAGGTTTTGTCAGGTCTGGAATCTTTGCTGCCAAAGAGAAAAGTTTCAACCATTTTTGCATTAGTTGGTACCCAATGTTCTTGTCCTTTTAACAGTACACCTGGCTGGCATGATGGCGGTTTAGCTTTCTAAAGCTCCTCTGCTCCTGAACTCTTCTCTCAGGAGCTGGCTTCTCCTCATTCCACTTGTTCCAGGACATCAGTTATCGTCAGCCCATGAGACGGAGGACTGTAAAGAACTATCTATCACCATCAAAATTTCACAGCTGCACAACTCAGACATATATCACAAAGAAATATGAATGATCTGACCAGAGTAATGATTGTGCTCAATTAAAGTGCTTTGTAGAATGAAGACCACCACTGCCATCATCCTCACTGCACGAAAAGTTCCATTTACTAGAGTCATTCTAGTCATGTTGGAAACTTCCTCTGCATAAAAATGAAAGTATTTACACTACAAACATCTGGTTTATGGTTTACGATTTGCAATCATGTTCATAAAAGTTCAATGACAAAACTAGAAGGTCTCAGCAGATTGCCTTCTGTCAGTTTATATATACTATCCGTGCAAGTTTTCATCTGAATTTCATGTACTTTAATTTGTAGTAGTCAGAAATTAGAATAAAATACTAATACAATTTTTATTGTTTGTAGTTTCATGTTGTCATTTTGTCAAATTGTGCAAGAAGTGTGGAAATATTATTCAGTTGTGTACCTACATAAAATACTGTTATGAATTAGTCGTAGCAATACAATAGTTTTATTTTATAAATTAGCCTATACATTTACATTTCACTTCAGCAATGTTTAAAACTTCACCGTATTTCTTCACCACAAAACGCTAATAAACACAATACATTAGGCCTATCTGAATGTGGTGGAATTTATGTGGTAGAAGTTGTAGCCTAATGACTTTCAGAAAACATATAATAAATATTTGTGACCCTAGGTGAGAAACACACTTTTATAAGAATATGTTATCTTTTGGATGGATTTCTGATGTGCATAATCTCTTATGAAGTACAGTAACCGAAGTAAATGTACGTCCGCGCACTGGCCTCTGGGTGGCACTGTACTCAAAAGGGAGCAGGAGTTGGTTAGAACAAACTTCTATAATGACAGTCCTTTGTGAATGACACGTATGAAAGTTTTGAAAAAGCCAATTCATAGCCATTAGTCGGACTTACTTTTTCCGTAAGGGATAAGTAGCCTATAATTAGGGCTAACTCGAGAAGTCAACTGGTGCGTCCATTAAAGGGACAGCATCGCGAGGAGAAAAAAAAAATAAACAGACTGATCATTGTGGCTTTCCTAAACATTTACGGTACTGAAGAAGAATCGGATGGCACATAGTCTTTACTGTCTACTCAAGAAGAGGAGGAAAGGATGGGGAAAGGAATTTGTTCGAGACGACAGAGAAGAATATTTCAGTCTTTCCTACTTCTCATCTTCGTCTGCGGGACGTTGTGCGCCTTCATGATCTCATATGAGATGCATAAAGAGCTGAAAAAGACTGAATCGACGGCTCTGAAGTACCAGCAGCATCAAGAGTCACTTTCTGCGCAGCTGCAAGGTAGACATTTAATGAAAAAGGTCCTACAGCGAAGGCACTTTGTATTAGATGTTTTGATTATGGCTTATCTGATTGTTTTGAGATATCTGATGCTTGCCTCCGGAGATTTCTATTGAAAATGTTTCGGCCTGTTTTGTTAATTCCTCTTATCCAAGCTCTTATATAGTTGGTGCATAATAATTGACACGCATCAGAACAGCATCAAGATTTTCTTGTGAACAACATTCCTTGAGAATACTTATTTGCTTTCACTTGATGGCAATACTTTCTGCCTCTAAGCTTTTGAATGGGGTCCTTTGACAAACATTGGGTAACACCACACTGAGGATTTTCACCGTTCTGTGCCAGATTATAGTGTTCATTATATCAAGGTGAATCTCATAAAACCTGTCAAGTCCAGATCACATTTCTGTCCAAAAGAAAACATATCTTGCATAAAAGAAATTGAATATATACAACTGGACTTTTTAGATTGTGAAATCATTTTCAGGACAATTAGGTTAATTTTACCCCTATATTCTAATCACTGTAAAGTGTCTGGTATTCTCTTTCTACTTTTTTTTTCCAGTAATGATTCTCATTACTGTAATACAGCCATTTACTGTATTGCAGTAAAAAAGGCAGTGATTTACAGAGATTTTTAAAATTAAAAATGAATTAGCTTGAATTCATTAAAGGCAGTACAATAAATGCTACTATGATCAAATAAAATAATTAATATATTAATATTTTTTATTTAATATTTATGTTATTCCAGTGAGAATGAGATTTGCATTACAGTAATGATTTGGGGATTAAATTAACTTAAATATCCTGAAAATAATATCATTAAA